CTTGCTGACCTCCAATGATACTGGCCATCGAAGTGGTCACCTGGAAATGGACTTAAATGTATTTGGGCAGGTAGGGGTAGAAGGCAATGACATAGCCGCCGAAGCAAGTTTCTACGGTCGTCAGCACAAAAATCGGATTGCTCATCAACTTGCCGAAAGTTAGGCAAAAGTCTGGAAACAATAACTTAATTATTTTTTTATGATAAAATGAAAAATGTCAGATTTTGAATATTTTTCAGAAGAAAACGTAAATAAATGGTTTAAAGATGTTTAACGTGAAAATTTAAATTATCTAATAGATATAAACTTTTTAAATTTTTATTGTGATGTCTCTTGGCGGTATTTCCATTAAGATAGCATCTTTCTTTCAAGTTCGCCCCATCTCCTTCCAACTGGATGTCATTCGTTTTGGGTTTTTGTTTGTTTGAATGTACTTACAAAATATTGTCATGTTTTTAGTTTATTTTAAAAAAAATTATAAAATAATTGGAAAACTATTTTTGTGCCACTATTTGAGCAAATTTAATAAACTGTTCATTCAATATTAGTTTTTCTACTACTAAAAGAAATGGGTGAATAGAGTGAAATAGAGTGAAATAGAGTGAAATAGAGTGAAATAGAGTGAATAAGAAAATGAGTGAATGAAAACGATACCGTACTTCAACGTTATACTTGACCTTGAGATTCATTCTTTTTATTTCTTGTTCTACGCTCTCAAATTTTCCAGCCTGGTACAAAGTTCTAACGTTCCATGTTGCCACAGTGAAAAGTGTATTCAATTTGTCACTATCATGATGTTTTTTGATTTGGCTTGTGTTTTTCGAGGGTTCACTTGGCAATAAAGTTGTGGAAAGTAGGTTGCCATTCCATTACTTGCTGTCAACTTTTTCTACTTTTATATGAGATGAGCCATGACAAATAAATTTACATAAGATAAACCACTACGTCAAACTAATAAATAAAAATTGATAAATCAATATAAAGTGCCTGAAGGTAATGTTTGGTAATTCAAATTAAAGATAAGCCAAAAAAATTATCAGTAGATCTTATCAACTCGTCAAATACATTGCATGTTATGGGTGGGGTCTCTTCATAGTATTGATATTACTACAATTTCTACTGCTGCTACTAATTTTAATGTAAGTTCTTAAACGAACTAGTGCTGCTACTGTTGCCAATAATACAGTTACTGCTATTGCTTCTTCTGATGTTAATAACACTAGTTTTGTTTGCATTACTACTAGTACCACTGCTGCTGCTGCTGCTACTACTACTACTACTACTACTACTACTACTACTACTACTACTACTACTACTACTACTACTACTACTACTAATACTACTACTACTAATACTACAATAAAACTGCTACTGCTTCAACCAACGCCCAAAATATTATGGCTGTTTAAATGTTTGAAACCACCCATAATGATCATAATGATAAATTATTGTACACCGTTCTTTTATTACCTCGATATTTTATTATCATTATTACTATTATTATTTTTATTGTTGTTGTCGTCGTCGTCGTTAATGTTGTCGTTGTTGTCGTTGCTGCTGCTGTTGTTGTTTTATTTTAGCCGGGCGCCTCCTAGAACACACTAGACTTTTGTTGCGTCATGCTATGTGGCGTGTGCTAAGTCCTGTAGCGTTACGTTATGCTAAGATAAATGATAATATTATGTTAATTTTATGTTAATGTTTTGCTAAAAATGTGTTTATATATGTGTCTCTGTACGTGTATGAAAAGGAAGAGAGAAAGAGTGTATGCGTGTGAGGGTACGCACATGAGTATATGTGTTTATATAAGTATATGTGTGCGTGTGCGCGCGTGCGTGTATGTGTGCGCGTGCGTGTGTTAGGGTGTGGTATCAATAAGCAAAATAGAAAAATAATTACAATCGTAAAAGGCAGTAAAAGTTTCATGTCTTCAGTCGTTTATTTGCCGTTTCACATTTATTATATCGCCACTCAATAAAACTTTAAAGAGTTTGAAAGAACGAACTAAATTTAGTCTGTTATTCTTCTAATCGATCATTTAGCTAACTTACTAAGTCACTAACTAGTCTATTAATAATAAATTATTTTATTTAGTTGTCTTTTTAAACCATTACTTTATTTCATTTTTCACACTTGTCTTGCTTAAAAAGTTTTTTCTCTGTTGTTTATTTTTTATCATTTTATACTATTGCCTTTGTCAGATTCTGATGATTTTTTAAGAATCGTACAAAAAATTAACGAAATAATCCCAGAAGGTGGGATTCTCTCTCTCTCTCTCTCTCTCTCTCTCTCTCTCTCATATATATATATTTTTATTTATTTGTATATAGTGAACTAATATAATAATATTGAATAGATATATATGTTAAGAAAATTTTTTATGTATTTTTTATGTAAAATTATTTATGTATTATTAGTTTGTTCGCAGAGTTAAGTGGTTTTTAAATAATAAATTGCGATATCTGCATGGACATGACATGTACTTGTATATGTAAATTTACGCCTAAAACGTGTAAAATTTGTTTGCTAATGTCTTTAATGCGTGTGTGTGTGTACCTATTTGTGTGTGTGTGTGTGTGAGAGAGTGTGTGGTGTGTGTGTGTGTGTGTGGTGTGTGAGTGTACGTGTTTGTGTGTGTGTGTGTGGAGTGTGTATGTTGTGGTGTTGTTGTGCATGTACGTAGCTTTCAAGAACAATTCGAATCCAGCGATTTATTTTGCTCCGGTCCCAGGTTCGAATTAAATATATTTATACGCGTTTCTCTGTAATCAGTAGGTGTATCGGTATTTTATCGGTTTGATTTCCCGTGTTTTTCAATATTAAAATATGTTTTTAATCGTGATTTTCAGAAGAAACGCGCGTCTGTAGCGATAGGCAATCACTTTCAATACTGAAAATAAATGCTAATTATGTGAATAGAATAATACTGAAAATAAATTTTAGTATTGTGAATCGAAGCACAGAATTATTTAAAAGTAATTATAGTAGTAGTAGTAGTAGTAGTAGTAGTAGTAGTAGTAGTAGTTGTAGTAGTAGTTGTAGTAGTAGTAATCGTGTGTTTAATATGTATTTATGTATTGATTGCAACGTGCATAATACCACATAAACAATTGAATTATGTGAGAAACAAAAGATGAATAAATTACAAAACAGACACACACACGCGCACACACACACACACGCACACACACACACAACACACGCACGCACATGTGTGTACAACGACCATAGAACATTATATCGGCATTTGTTATGTACAATAGTATGCCTGAGATGAATTGGGAATGAATTTCAAATGAGGCTCATCATTTCATTTCATTCATCCATTCATTCATCCCTTCAGTTAGTCAGTCAATCAGTCATTAATTTCTTAATTCGCTCACTCATCCATTCATTCCCCTTTCTCTCTCTTTCTAATGTCATTTGAAACCATCTAATTAATATGCAACATTGCAAACAGATATGGACGCACACATGCAAACGTACATACGAATACAATATACCTAAGCACACGTGTGTTAAAATGTACAAAAACACGTGTGCACGCACACATGTACGCAATTGGACAAAAGCAGACATAAAAACACACAAATACACACCAACGAGTACACAAACATACAAGTGTATGCTTTGCATTCGCTATATACATATATATATATAATATATATATATATAATATATATATATACATTTAGATATATGTATGTATGTATTGTATATATATGTATGCGCATGTATGTATGTTTATAAATTGGTTATTGTATCAACAAACAAACTTGGCTGATGATCGTCAAGAGTTGTTTCAATCAAGGTGGAAAACGCAAACCGTGCAAAAAGTTTGTATGTTATTTTATATTACGTGCTTAACTGAATTTTCGTTGTTGTTGTTACATATTGTAAGTTTTTATTTTTTCTATTTTTATAAAATTTCGCAAAATTAATTCAAATTTTTTAATAATTAAATGAGTATCAGAATTACGTAGTTATAATAATAATAATAACTATTATTATTATTATTATCATTATTAATATTATTATTGTTATTATTTAATTGGACTGATAATTTTCGATATAGCCTAATCAATAGTGTAATGTCGTCATCTTATGCTTTGTACAGCCATAGGAACGATGCGTGAACAAACTGTTTCCAATTTTTATACAAGCCATCATCCATCATGGCACTAGCGTTGATGGCTATTCATATTATTTTAACATTTTAATTATATTTAACTAATTTTAACATCTTATTGACATATTTTATTTTGATTATTTTTGATTTTACTGGTTTTCTCTGAATAATAAAAGAGTTTACATTATTATTATTACATACATTGTTTTATAACAGCAGCTAGAAAATAAAATAACTCTGACCACCACCACCACCATCGTGTCGCAAACAATCGAGTCGCCAACAACACTTTAGTTAAAAGGATTTCAACAGCCGCACTGACATCACAACTACGATTAACATTACTGATACTGCTACTACTTGCAACTTGTTTAACAGCTGGTTTGGTTATTAACTCGGCAGTTGTTGCTACTGTTCGGACAGTGTTAATACTGCTTCTGCAACTACTGCTACGATATTCACGACATAATCTCGCGTAAAAGGTGCAATTTTTGTTAAAATAACGATGAAAAAACTGCGAACGAGGGATCTGAATTAGAGTCAAAATTTCAAAAGCGCGGCAAAAGTTGTAGAAAAAAGAGAATATATAAAAAAGAGAGACGTAAATACATCGATATACAAAAACAAACATACATTCATCTTACTTAAATAACAAACCCCGGAAACTTTTAAAAAAATGAGTGCCGGCAAGACGTCCTCACCGCCATCCTCGCCAACTTCACTCACACCACCTCAACCATTTCTAATCGCCAACACCCAAAGATCACAAATAGTAGGAACGTCGTCGTTTTCATCGTCATCGTCGTCGTCATCCATACCGTATAAACCAGAATCATCCTCGTCGTCGCCAATGGCCACAACCACAAAAGCGCCGTGTCCAAGATTGTGTCATCTCAGAAAGTTGCCGAACTTCACGGGGTATGGATTCAATTTGCACGCTGAGAAGGGCAAGACTGGCCACTACATTGGCAAGGTGGGTGTTGGTGCTGTTTGTTTGTTGGATGTCAAGTTTGTATGTGTGTTGTTTTATGTCGTTGTGTTGGTAGGTTTGTATATTGTTTGTTGTGCTAGTTTATGTTGTGTCCTTTGTTTGCACTTTTATGATTCTCTGTTGTACCCACTTGTTGTTTTATAGCTGTATTCAGCCGTGTATAAATTTTGTTGTTGTTGTTGTTGCTGCTACTGTTGTTATTATTATTATTATTAAGTAATTGTGATTTTAGACAGTTGAGCAAGCTGTTCATCGATTGTCCAGCTATTGTTTGCGCTAACAAGCAGCGTTCTCAGCTAGCTAAGCTAAGCTGAGCTTTAAAAATGTTCCAACACTTGCACGGTGAGATCAGAGGTGCTAGCTGTATTCATAAACGGCCGCCAGCCTCACATACATACTTGTGGCTGTGGGTGGAGTACGATGTTTTAGAGTTTCGGCAGTAGAATGTACGTTAAGAATAAAATCTGACAGCATGAAATGAAACGAAACGAGCGTGATGCTAATTACATTTATGAAAAGTTATTATTTTTTAAGTTTAAAAGTCATGTGGTTTTCATATGAAAAATGTTTTCTTTCTTTTTTTCGACCATACACAGAAAGAAAGGTTGCTTAAGTTAAACAAATAGGCGGTGTGATGGCCTAGTGCTTAAGATCGCATCGCTTGCTGCTGTTTTGTAGTGACCGGGCTCGAATACGACACAAAGATGCCCGCCTATCACAAGCTTCGTGTGTCATGCGTCGCTTAGCACGTATTCATATGCCGTGGAGTGGGTTGCTGACCCCTCTGAACTGAACCCAGGGAGAGGGAAATGGACCTTTAACTTGTGTTTTGAAACATAGCCCGCCAAAAATCCAAATAAAATGAAAAAGCACCAAACCGCCACACGTGTGCACGCATTGGGTTCTTTGTGTCTTTGTAGCAGCGAATATTTATTTAAACGTTTTTTTTTATGTTTTCATTTTGTTTTTATTTTCATTTTGTTTTTATTTTTTATTTTCATTTTTAAATTTAAAAGTAAAATAAAAATGCTGACAAGTTATGTTTAAAAAAAAACTTGATTTTCGTGACCTTTCAAGGTCGACATTGGATCCCCTGCAGAGTTTGCGGGCGTGAAGGACGGCGACAGAATTGTGGAGGTGAATGGAGTGAATGTGGGCGGAGACAACCACCAACAGGTTCCTTTTCATTGGCTGATAATTTTTCAATAATGATTGGTTTAAAAACAATTTGTTACCAAATCTCTAAATTGTTTAATATTGTTTTTTTAGGTAAAATTGAAACCGTAAATATATGCACAAACACACACATGTTTACAAAAATATATACAAACAAAACAAACACGCAATCATCGAGCTATGTGAACGCACAAACAAACAGGTGGTAGAGAGAATCAAATCTGACCCGAACGAGACCATCTTCCTGGTGGTCGATCCGGAGACGGACGCCTACTACAAGGGTAGGGGGGTAACCGTCAACAGCAGGATGACCCACATCATCAGGATGGAAACCCCCGTCAGTCCTTTCTCTCAAAGTCAAGGTCAAACACAAGGTCAGTCGGTGTTGAGGTTCGTTGGAGTGAACTGTAAAGAAAAAAATTAACTTGATAAAATTTGTTTTTTTTTTGGTAAAATTTACTACACAAAACTTGTGAACAACGCAAACATGTGTAAGAACTTGTAAAAAGACATGAAAATAAAAAACAACAAGCACAAATTCATTTAATTAAAAACAACTTCGCGGCAAACAAACAAATGAGCAGACGTGAAACCAATGGTAATGAAAAAATAAACACACACTCACACACACAAACACAAAAATACACAGACACACACACAGACATACACACACACACACGTTAGTAGAAAAAGTATAACGAATCGAGATATGTATTATGTTCCTCTGATTTGCAAGTCATCCCATCCATCGTTCATGCCTGCTGAATGACCGATTTGCATTCGTTTGTATGTGCTTAAGTGTGTCTGCGTATTTAAATATGTGCGTGCGTGTGTGTGTATGTGTGTGTAAGTGAGTGAGTGAGTGAGAGTGAAAGTGGGTTTGTCTAATTTATTTATAACTTAATGGGTGTATTAAAAATTCAAATTCGTGAGGTTGCCAGCGTAAAAGAGTTCACTCAATTTTTAAGCATGATTATGAGGACGGTGACATGATTGGGATTGGTTTATTATCTATCAAAATAAATTATTCTATTTATAGCATCGTAACTCATGCATAAGAATTTTAATTCCCTTTTTTTCAGCATCTACAGCATCGCCAGCTTCAAACAAAACCACCGCCACAACCACCTCAGCCGCCAAATCAAACTCTCCTGACGTCATCAAAACCACTGAATCAGGTCAGACTTCTGCACCAAAAACAGCCCAAAAATCATCAGAACCATCAGCAACCATCCCCTCCTCTAGCGGCAACCAGATGAGTGCCCGCATGTGCCATCTCATCAAGTGGCCCGAATATCCGGGGTATGGCTTCACCATACTAGCCGACAAGAACAAACGCAACCCGGTGGTCGGCGAGGTGGACGAAAGTTCTCCCGCGTTTTTTGGCGGCATCAGGTGTGGGGACAAGATGGCGGAAGTGAATGGGGTGGCAGTCGACGAGAACACCCCCTACACTGAGTTAGTGAAATTAGTGAAGGTTGATCCGAACACGGTGCGAATATTGATGGTGCCGAAAGAGTTCTACGGGGAGTTTGTGAGGATGAGGAGGGAGAAGAAGTTGGATGAGGAGATGGTGGAAAGGATCTACTGTCCTGCTGTCAGGCCACCTGGCGCTCCAAATAATGGTGACGGTTTTTATTATAATTATTATTATTTATATCATTATTTATTATTTATTATTATTATTATATTATTATAATTACTCTTTTTTATTACTACTTCAATGTCGTTGCCAAAAACGGGACGAGATGACGATGGGAGTGACGTTAGTGAGGCACAAAAATATTACGGACGTGAACGCACGACCTCCTGAGGGGTAGGGGGGTTTGAACTTTTAACCTTACCCCAAAATGACCCTCAGGTAAGAAATTATTGGCCGACGCACAGACACAACCAGCACCAAACTCAGATGCAACAATAACAGCAACATCTGCGATAACATCAATTAAAACAACAACATCAACAACAACATCAACAACAACATCAAAAGACAGTAATGTCCTCAATAACGAACAAACACCTCCAACAACAACAACAACCACACAACAAAAGTCTCAACAAGTTTTATCAAAATCCAAACAAGTAGAGCAACTAATGAGCAGAAATAAACAAAGAGCGCCCTCGCCACCGGCAGCCAGCGACGACGACGATGACGTCAACATCAACGTCAACAAAAACATCAGCAGCGACGACATCAACGTCAGAAACGTCGACAACATCAGCACGACAAGCGTCAACAGCATCAGCGAACTCATGGACACACTGGACCTCAGACTTTGCAACATACTAGCCACCGACCGATACCTAGGTACTCATTGTACAGCACGTACAAATACACACACACACAGACCAGGACAGACTATTAATGCCAGCTAAAAACACACACTTATACACAACACCTAAACTACACAAACACATACACGCATCCAACACTAACGACATGATTGTAATCAAAATAAAGGTTTTGGCTTCAACTTGGTTGGCACGAAGAACAAACCTGGAAACTACGTGGACCGAGTGGAGAAGGTAGGGCAGCGCAGCATGAACGTATCAAAAAAGACACAAAACACACAAACAAACACTGATTTACACGCACAAACAAAAACATAACAACCAAATCACAAACACACAAACGAACGAACGAGCAAACAAACGAACGAGCAAACAAACAAACACATCAGGGTTCACCGGCGGACAAGGAAGGCTTGCGCAATGAGGATCGGATCGTTTGTGTGAACGACAGAGTTGCACTGCTGTCAAGTCACATG